TTAACAAAAATTCCAATAAAATTAAAATAAATTAAAAAAATGAAAATAAAATAAAATACAAATTTTTGGGTGTTACACAAGTAAGTTAAGAAAATTAACATTTTCAGTTAAATAAGTTTATTTAAAAATGAGTTTCATTAGTTATTTTACGATTTTTACAAATATTTGATTTTTCTGTATTAATTGTAAGAAGTTGAATTCTTATTGACATAGTATAGTTCACTTTTTTATTATTAACCATTTTAGATCAGGACAACCAAGATTTGGATCCCGAACAGTAAAAAAACTAGTTAGAAGATTGCATCTCCGTCTCCCGTATTCCTATTGGGCGTTTTAAGTAAACTGTGCAATAAATATAACATTAAACTCTAAATTGCTTTCGCTAATTAATAAATTTTAATATTTTTTTTTATTTTTAGACATTTACAGTATGAATCATATAAAATCATGTAATCTTCATTTATATTATGAATAATGTAAAATACTTGGGGATATGATACATATATTAAACAATCCTAAAATAAAACTATTCATTTAGTTTAGAGTCATAAACATATAATCCATTAAAATTAATCCATTGCTATATATATATGTATATATTCTAATTTAATAGTTTAATTTTTTTAATTATAAATCGTACATAACACACACGGGTAGAGGACTAGTTTGTTTATAACTGTACTGAAATTAACAACTACGTTGATATTTTAATTCTACTAAATTTAGTTGTATCAGTAACTAAATTTTAAAGATTTTAATGTAATTTATTGTTTTTAATGGGACTCTTAATAGATATTTGGATTGGGTAAAATGAATTTCAAATTCCGAAAAGAAAAATTCGAAGTTCATTTAGACACTACTATTTTATTCAAATTATCATAGAAATTAATATTTGTTTTTTTTTTCTAAAATTTATCTTAACTTTAAAAACAGCTATTTTATAATTATTTTTTATTTTTATTTACAAAACATTAGCTTATTAACCCTTTTACTTATCTTTATTTCAAAATATTCCTAATAAATTTTGGTAGCACCGGATGATTTAGTTCAATGTTTAGTAGACGTTAATGTCAAGGCAGTACACGAATTACTAAAACAAAGACGGCGTTCACATCTTAATGCACATGTATATATATATATACGTGTGTGTGTGTGCGCGCGCATACATACAAATATATTCAGTTCGTATATATATATATATACACACACACATGCATTTACTTGGCAATTTATCTAACATGTCATTTATGATAATTTAAATTGACTTGGGAAAAAACTTGTATCACGTTGGATTTTATTTCTTACGCTGTCTCCCTTCAATACTGTTTTCTTCGATGAATCATATTCCGTGTTACATTTCCATCTTCTTTATTAATTATTAAAATTTTAAAATATATTATTTTAGTTTAGCATAAAATTTTATATAAAATTAATTTTTATATTTTTTAAAAATAATTTAATTAAATATAAATTTATAAATAAATTTTATTTTAACTTCACCCAAAAATATCCTGAAAATAAGGAGAAAAGTTCGTAGGGAAAAAACGACTGAATCCGAGTTTTTAGGTAAAAATGACTTTTGAAGAAAATTAAAATGATAAAACGACAATAAAGAAAATTAAAATAAGGAGTCAAAAAATTTGTTGAGGTAGCCAAACAATGGAAATCCCAAGAACCAGACCGTGGCGGAGATTACCTTATCCGGATTTAGGTTTAAAGAGACAAGTGTATCCAAACACCCGAATCACGTTTCGATGAAATCGAAGCAGCACAAACAACCAACAAACAGCAACCACCTTAAAAGCTGGCAATGCAAATCGTGTCTATAAATAACGTTGCCTTCTCTCACGCTTCCACTCAAGCTACCTTCTTCGTCTTCTCCGCTTAAACCCTTCTCTCTCTCTCTCTCTCTCTCTCTCTCTCTCTCAAAGGAAAAGCCTGAGAATCTCATAACCTTCTTTCTCCATCAATGGCTTCAGTTTCCGGAACTTCGATCACCTTATGCTCATTCTCATGCTCCTTCAGGCAAAACCAGGTTAAACTAAGTCCTGATCTCTGTTGTGTTTTTCTTCTTCATTTTGCAATCTGTCGCTTTAATCTGGAACGAATTTCGTTTTGATTGAAAATTTTATAGTTCCCGATCGTAAATTTTATAAGCTCTATTGGATTCGGCTTTATTTGTTCAGAGATTTTCGGGTTGGTAGTGATTGTATTTGGGTTTGATTGATTTATTTTCTCGAACTTCATGTGTTTTGATGTATTTGATCGTGAAATCGTTGGATTTACAAGTTTTGAGAGCTGATTAAATGAAGATTTTTTTTCGATTTGTTTGGGGAAAGCATTGGATTTATTCATTGTTCTCTGTTTTAATGTTGAGCAGGCATCTCCTAGGATCTCTAGTCTCCGATCAGTTTCACTTCCTATCCATGGGAAAAGCTTTACCTCTCTTAGGCTGCAGCCAGGACGCTCTCGATTTCAAGTTTCATGCGCGGTATGCCTTAGTTCTATTGAGAATGTGATCCATTTCTTTCAGCTTTTTGCTCTCTTTTTCTCCATCTGCATTCAGGATTTGAATGGATTTTTCTTTGCGTTCTAGAAATTATGTCAAAATTTTAGTAAAGAAGCTATTGCATATGATCATTATATGTTTCTAACTGTGTAAATTTACCATGATGAATCTCCCTCCAATTGCTGCACCTGCATGCTTGGGGTCCTTATCTCTTATATTTACTGAGAAGAGTTGCATCGTTGCTTCTTGTTATTATTACTTTTATTGGGAGAAAGTATTTAGTTAATTTTAGCCGTATAATAAGTTGTTTTGTGCAGGATTGTCCTTGTGACTATGAAGTTTGGCTGAATATATTTGAGCTTTAACCCGTCTGTGTCTTAATATTCAAGTCCTGCTAGAGCTAAAAATGACTTCAGGCTAATTTTATGGCATTTCGTAGTACTTATAGTACTTTTATGCAGTACTCAATATTTTATAGTTTATCTTTTTCTGTTTGGGCAAAGCTACCTTAATGCTGTAAAGTTATCTGATACAATATTAGTTACTAGTCATAATGACTATAACACACCATAGTCTAACCCTTTTTATGACTAATTTGCATGAATCCTGATGCTTTTGCTCAGGCCAAGCCAGAGACATTGAACAAGGTGTGCGAAATAGTGAAGAAGCAACTTGCATTACCAGAAGACTCTGCAATCAGCGGAGAGTCAAAGTTTGCAGCACTTGGAGCTGATTCTCTTGACACAGTAAATTAATATCTACCCTCCTAATTTTTTTTGCATTCTGTAGCTTTTGTTCCTGTTACAATTCAAACACTGCAGATGTCTTCCGAAAGAAAATTTAAATAACATGAGAAAAAGAAATCGAATTTAGATGATTTTATATAACATTAGAATAAAATCAAATTACAAGCTGTCACAAAATATACAGCATCGTTTAATATGTAATAAGACCAAACACTCCCATTTTCCCTTGTTTCAATGAAATCGTTCTTCAACTTTTTCAACTATAAGCCTTCATCTTGGTCCACATTGTGTTTGATGTTTTTATCCTGTAGTATTCGTGTTTTCTTGGGACAGTGTTATGCATCAACGGAATTTTATATTGGTCAGCTAAATGATGGAAATGGTTCTCTCGTGTTTAGGTTGAGATTGTGATGGGACTTGAGGAGGAGTTTGGAATCAGTGTGGAAGAGGAGAGTGCACAGAGCATTGCCACCGTTCAAGATGCAGCCGATATGATTGAAGATCTCATGAAGAAGAAGAGTGCTTAAAGAATAGGTTAGCCTGGGGGATTAGATCGGCATAGTTCCGTTTCTCATCTTTCTTAATCTCTAGGTGTTAATCTTGGTTTTCGTTGCACTTTCTTGTTTCACTTTTAATTTATATGTAGGATGGAAGTCTTATGGCTTCTTTCTTCTTGTGCTAAGTGTATTGGCTTGAATATGTCATAAAAATAATTTCATTTTATACAGAATCTATACGTATTGAATAAATAAGCTGAACGACATTTTTAGTTCTCATTTTAGGTCTAAAAACTCGAAGATGAAACTAAAATTATTAATCACTTGGTTATAAATATTTATTTTGGGATTCAATCGGGTAAATTCATTCAGAATCCAGGACAAATGGATTTTGAGTTTTGTGCGTATAAAGCTGGATCAAATTAGGATTTTAGAGAATCCTCTGAAAATCTAATCTGGTATCATCGCTAATTGGTTATCAAAATTTTGCAGTCAAAATTCTTTCAAATAACTCAAAAACTTTGCCAAAATAGAAACGTTCCAAAATTTGAAGATAGGTTCTTCTATATAAGATCTAGAGGTCTAAAAATTTTATGATCTAATTTTGATATTAAATTTTGTTTGAATTTCAATTTCAATAAATAAGAATAAGAATATAATTAAATAAAAAATATTTTGATTACAAGTAATTTAAATTAAGTGATTTTGTGATTTATTTATCAGAATATAAATTTATTTTTGCGGAATTAAAAAAAATAAATGAAATTAATTGAATTACAAAGTAAATGTGTAAATTCAATTCTACATGTGAAATTACTAGTACTTACAAACTAAAAAAAAAAAAAGAATACATTCAAACCAAACACAATCTGAGCGTAATTCATTTATTATATGCAATTCTGTATAGGTAAAATTTTGGCAACCTAACTTTCAAGTGCACAAAAAGTCGGGTCTTGTTGTGCTAATACGTGCGAATTGCATGATAGCTATGTCAAAATGGGTTAGAACTGATACAAGAAACATAAAATTAGTGTCCTGAAAGGAATTGCAATTAATTCTCGGAAAAAGGAGAAATTTTTCTAAATCCATTTCTTGATCTGATGAAATCTGAAAAATCATTCTTTTCTTTTCTTTCTTTTTTAACGATGTTTACCCGTCTATTTAAAAAACCACAAATGGAAAAAAAAAAAAAAAACACACAACTATACAATTTAAATACGTTGTTTTTGTGAGTTTTATAGAAAAGCTTAATTGTCATGAAAGAGAAACTATCTCTTGTCATCTCATTCTGTGTTTTTACGTAATATAAACATTATTGGGAGGAAGCCTTTTAATATTTTTGGGTTGGGCTGTTAGCCTTTTAATATTTTAAGCAATGCTGCAAGTATCAATTGGCTGGCTTCTTCTCTCTTTTAATTATTTAGTTTAAAAACATAAACATGATTAGTTGTTTTACAATGCAAATCATTTGTATTCTATTAATCTGATCAGAGTGTTAAAATTTTTATTTTTATAATTTTTTTTAATAAAAAATTAAAATAACTTATCTATATTTTTTAAATATCTAACAGTTATTTCTAATACACCAACCAAATAATAATAATAATTATTATCTATTTGTTAAAACGGTAAAGCTAGATGATCTTTTTTATAATACAACTTAAAAGAGGTTTCCCTCCTCGCTCTTCATGGCATTCAAAACAGACAAAACAGATTACCTAAACCACCACCAGTCCACTCAAAATATGAATAAATAAATAAATAAATAATGTAGGAGACAAGTTACCAAATTATTCAAAGAAAAAAGATACCAATTTTCTGTTCATCACTAGGTGTCCTCCACATGCCGATCTCGTCACATTTGAAATCAGTACAATTCATATGATTCCAAAATAAACCCAATCAATCCCCCACTTGAAGAAGAAAAAGTTGATCCATATAATTCACAAATACTATTGTTGGGTAATATATTCTATCTGCCGCTTTATGAATTCTAAAAATTGAATCTCAACACGCATTAACAATTCCTTTTCCTCAAGTTCAATGCATATGGTTCAAATGGTTTATCAAAAACAGAAGAAATGAACTGAAGATCATAAATAATTATGATGATCCGATCTCTACTGATAATTACAACAATCCTCACCAAACCATAAAGTGTATAGTAAAGTACTAATATACTAATACATATACAATAATCATATCATATAACATAAAAAGAATAGAAGATTCAACTGAACAAAGATGGAAAAATATCAATCTGGTCTCAGTTTCTACCGGCTATAGTACTGTGCATTTCTAAGCAGCATTACCCACCCTGCAAAAACCGCTAAGTTTAAGAACCCAGCTGGGTTTACTTTCACGGCAAGAGAATCTGGCAACGAAAATGGCGAAGGTGCAGAATCAGGAACAAGCGAACTGTCGAAGGCGTCAGGATTAGGCGGGCTGGGACTGGATGGAATGGTGGGGATGGTGGAGCCTGTCGTCGGCACTATTCCGCCGGGAGACGGCAGGAGTGGAGCAATGTCCGGTGAGAGTACTTGGTATGGAGGAAAGTCTGTTGAGAATTCAGAAAGGACATTAGTGGCAGTTTTTGATGACGAGGAACTGATCAGCTCGGAAGAAGAAGGTAAAGATGGTGAAGGAGATGAGGGCATGAACATAATAATGATGAGAAGTAAGAGGAACCAAAAGGAGGCCATGTCTAATGATGAACAAATCAGCAGAAGAGCGCAAGTGTTATATATATGAATTATATAAATATGTATATATCGGCATCGATATGATTTTTTGGGGGGAAGAGATGCGGGCTTTTTGTAGGAGTTATGATGAAGGTGCTTAAAAAGAATGACTAGGTCACCGAGGTGGGGTCGAGTGCCACGTGGAGGATGATGAGTGGGTTGTGATGAGAAAATACAGGTTGGCATGTTAGGGGGAAAAGACAGAGAGGGGGTAGAATTGTTTTTGTTGGGATGTGTTTGTTAGATTGGGATTCCTTCAATTTACGCCCGTGAATTTGGTGCTGGAGCGTCCCCTTCTCCCGGCTAATTACTGCGAGCTTAATTAAACTAAGATTATTTAATTTAAATGGAATCAGGTACCTGAATTTTTTTTGGTAATAAAAATTGGATTTACCACATTTTTAACTTTTTATTTATTTTTTTTCAAAAATTAGAACTAAAATTTAATCTTATTTTTGTTAATATATATATATATATATGCATGCATCTAGATTTCTGAAGAGAAATACATAAAAATTTAGAGATATATAAATCATTAAAAAATAACATCTTAAACTAAGAAAAATGATCAAAGGTCAAATTGGAAAGTCCAAAACTGTCATAAAAAACTAGTCCAAATTCAATAAAAGCAAACCACAGGTAGACACTAGTATTGTGTTTTAAATTCACGTGGTAAATTTATATGTTTAAATTATCGTACATAAGAAAATATTAAATTAATTAGATTCAGTTAAAAAATAATCTGATATAATTAAGAGTATATTGTGACTTAATGCATCAAATTAAAGTGTTAATTTTATTTTTATATATAGAAATCAAATTTTTAATTTTTAATTTTGTAACGAGTCAAATAAGAATATAAAGAATTTATAAGCAGAGTTTGTCTGTAAATAGACGATTATGATCTTCAGGTTACATGTAAGATTTTTCTATTCTTGTAATACTCGGGCTTGAAAATTAGTTCGATATAAATTTTAGCAATTTAAAAATATATAAAAAAATATTTTTTTTATAATTTAATTTAATTTAATTTTTGTTATATTTGAGAAAAAATAAATTCGAAACGAAACTGAAAATAATTTTAAAAAAAATGGGTAAAAACTTAAGTTTTATGAGTGTTTTTAAAAAGAAAAATTAAAAATATAAGGGTCAAAGTGTAAATAGAAAAAGTTCGATCACGTAGGACTACCCAATTAGGAACCTCGACGAACCAGACCATGGCAAGGCACGCTGACGTCGGTACCACGCGAGAGGCCACGCTAGCAATCTGCGTGCTCTGCAATCAGACAGCCCAGGATCGATCCCGTGCGGATGGACGGTACGGATCCGTTTCTCCCTTAGACGCGATTGAACGATTGAGATCAAACACGATAAATGGTTTAGATTCGTTTCCTTCTTATGCGCAATCGAACATATGAGATCAATCGCGATGGACGAATCAGATTAAGGCATGATGAGTAAAAATATTTCGCATCATACGAAACCCGAACCCTAATCGCCAGCATTCCCCAACTCTCCCGCCCAGAGAAGAAGGACCAGACGCCAAGCAAGGAAGCCGACCGCCGACCCGTGCCGCACCAAAACCACATCCGACAGCCAAAAAAGATAAAAACTCTCATATCCGCTGGGAATTCGATTATAAGTAACCTGTGGCTATATTGGAGCAAAACAAACTACAAGTGAGCGGAAAATCGCGGACAAAGATCAGCAGGGTCGCGGCAGTCCAAAACCTGCAACCTCCTCCGATGAACCCCTTCCCAGTTCCCGTTTCATACGATTTCTCTACCATTGTGTTCACCGTTCTATTTTCTGTATGTTGACCGAATGAGGAATCCCAACTGCGAAAGAGAGCCAGCAAAGCCGCCATACTCGAAAACTCTAACACCGGTAGGTTTCAATTTTCTGATTTTTTCGACCAACTGAAGTTCGCTAATGTATTTTTTGGTAGAGATACGTGTAAATTCAGCATAAACCAGCTAAAAACAAACAGGCCGAGGCAAACCACCGCCGTGGGTGGCGGTGCCGGAATTTCAAAATTAGCATGAAGGATTTTTAATACTGATTTTAAGTTTTTTTGGTATTTTTTAGGTACGTAAAGCGTGTTTAATCTCCGTAGAAAAATTCAAAAAATCTGAGAATCGCTAGGAGACGTGGTAGAAAGTATGATATTTCAAACATCGTTTCGGGTAAGAATCTATCACCATATTTCCTGTTATGAAATTAAAACTTAATGATCAATAATATGGTATTTTATGAAATTTAAAAAACTTTACGAATAATTATAGATCATTAATAAAACCGAAACCGATCAATTATTTATTTGTCTTGTTTAACTGATTATTTACTTGTACAGCTTTAAATACATAATAATATATTAAAATAGTTAAATAATTCAGTTGTGTTTCCTTAATGCATATATCGCTTGTTTTACATGATTTATAGTTAATTTATGAAATGTGAAATTAATATACAAATAGAAATTGCTTAATTATATAAATTAATAAATAGTTGTCTTACTGAATATCTTGGGAGATAGTAGACGGACCGGGTACATAGAAAATTCAACCGTGAACGTTACTCCATACCGGACAGGGTATCGAGGAATGGTATATTTGGCGCTCATACCAGATAAGGTATGGAATAAGCTTCTTTTATTTTCTCAATATCACAATTTATATCTTTTGTCTCGCCAATTGTCTTTTGGTTTACAGCAGCACATATACTAACTTAGTTATTTCTTATAAAAGTTAGTTTATAAAGTTTATAACTCTTATTTATGAATTATTACTATTCCGTCGAGTACACTACCACTTGATATAAAGATGGGGCACACAATGAATTCCAAAAAAGATATAACTATAAGTGAAACTATATTCTAACAAAAAAATTAATGGTGGATGATGACAAAAATAGTGAAGGATGGGAGAAGTGGATCAAGAGCTTTACATTGGAAATTTTGGTCTTTATGGCAAAAATGTATTATTTTAAATCAGTTCACGTAGATGTTACATGTTATTTAAGTAATATTTATATAAATTAAAATAAATTTATGTCATTATTCATGCATTAACATTTAACAATATTAATATTCACTAACAATAAAGTATTGATTTTAATTTTTTTTTCAGTTATATGTGAATGAAATTTAGAAAAAAAATTCAAGGTGTAATTTGAACATCTTTTAACAATTGATAGTGAATTATATGTTTTTTTTTTTTGATAACTTCTGCCAATATTAACAGAATAGTTTTGTGCATCAGAATTATATTTTATTTCATATAGTCCAAAAGCACCGACCCTTTCAAAGAACTTTCATGTGCATTTGATGTATGAACCAACCTTTTACTTAGGAAAGAGAAAAACTTAACTCTAACCATGCAAACAATAATTCAAGTTTATCACTCAGGATTCTGTAATTAGCGACTCAGATCTCACCTGATGAATGGTACGGAAAAAACCTACAGTAATCTTGTCATATCCAACAAATTGCCAGTGGGAGTTTTCTTCTTCTCATTTTCTTTTCCTTTTTATAAAGGTAACCCAAGACCCACATGTCAGAATGTGACCATTTCCTTATGCACATAATTGCCAAAATCCCATGACCTAAAGAAAAGGTTTATAATGTAAAGTCTTCTTAATGAATCAAAGCATCTGAAGATAAGCTAAAATGGTAAGGGCTTTTGTTTTCTTTTCCGTAGGTAGATTAGGATCCGTTTGGGATTATCGTACACCTGTTCATTCATGAAAAGTAATATCCACCGCAGATCACGGGGTTCATCAAATTAAGTACATTATAATTAAATTTTTTATTTTATATAAGGTTTTTAATTTTTTAAAATTTACAAATACATATTTAAATTTCTAAATACAAAAGAGTGAAACTTCAAGATAAATATATCAAAACAAAAAAAAAATATAACTTAAAAACTAATATTTTACGTAAAATAATTGAAAAAGAAACCAACACGCATAATATTAAACTGGCACGAAAATTATAAATTTTAAATGACAGTAAAATTTAACAATACGAAATAAGTGTAATTTACTTATTTATTAAACAATAGTCAAAGAGGTGTCAGTCAAAATTCGTAAATCCAATAAAAAAAAATACTAATACGTTATATATTTATATATCCCAGCCAAAAAGACAAGATTGGCAAGAAAAGAAATGAGAAAAGCAGAACTAGATATCGAGGCTTTTTCCCTACAAATATAATCAGCAGGTTTGTGCATGTATCTAATGCACATGTTAGGATACCCTGACTAAATCTTGATAGTCGGCTATCTGAGGCCATAGTTAAAAAGGAAAGTCCACAGTCCCCTGCAACTTGAATGTCATACACATTTTCTCTCTCCAGGATTACTAAATCTGTTTGGTGACAAGTCAGTGAAGGGTAGATGACTAACAAAAAGGGTGATGCTATTAATGCCTTTTAAACATAATACCCCTCTAACTTTCAAGGGAAGATTACAGTTAAAATAATTACACCCTTAACATTAAATTTAATATATTTCAGTGTAATTAATTTGAACTCAAAATCACGTAACATACTATAGAATATAATTTTTCTAACAAACCAGCAAAAAAGACAATCTTATAAGAAAACATGAAAAGAGTCCTTATGAGAATCATATCTCTTACTAATCTTCGAATATTTTATAGTAATTTAATGACTTTATCTAAAAATAATTCATTTCCTCTTAAACAAGCACCAGCCACAAGAATAGGAAACTATAACCATGGAATTAGACACTTAGCAAGAGGAGTGTGATTCTGGTGGAAGCTCTGGTTGCCGGATGTTAGCTATCTTTGGTCCTTTTGGGCAGAGATACTAAACTAACCATAAAGAAAGGGGGTGGGGGATGGGGGGTTGGGAAGCATGGGGGAAGGGTGACTCTGGTTTCATTTTTCTACCATTTGCAGTACCAACATATCCATTCGAGACAATACATCTTACAAGGTCAGAGAACCCTGTAGGTACGGAAGTTAACAAAAAATGAACTACACGAGATCCATTCAGTTAACAGTTTTAGAATTTAGTCACATAATTAAACAAAAAATAAGTCAGATGTGAACAAAATAAAGCTTACACATGGGATATAATCTCCCAATTATTTTAGTAGACTTGCATATCTTTAATAATAATTGTACATTATATGTTATTATAAGATTAAATCTAACTAAAGAGATCGAATAAAATTTAAAATATAAACTTTTTGACATGCTATAAAGTATATAATTTAATTATATATAATTTCCAATTTTAGGCTAAAACAAATTAAAAATTAAGAAATTTGCAAAGTTAACAGTGATTACAATCTCAAATTACAAATAAGAATGCACTTATCTAAAAATTTTAAGAGAGAGGGGAAAATCTTATAGAAAAATTGGAGCGAAAATTTTTTGTTGTTCACAATAGAAGATCATTAAGTCATAAATCCAACTCACAATAGAATTCTTTATAGATGAAGGTACGTTTTTACTCTTATATTTTTCTTGGTAATTTAATACAAATTTTTTTTGGGAAATAGATTTTATCTCTAAAGTTTATTCTCCCAAAAATATTCTTATATCACAGACATTATATATTTTCCCTAACTACATACACCAACAACTACACGAGCTTCAACCAATGCATTTATATAGTAAGACAAACCACCACATGTAGCATTAACCTTTCAGTCATTACTAGTATAACTCCTGGTTCTCGAAATGATTTTTTAAAAAAAGGTTTTATTTGCTACATGAGAATATTATTTAGATATTCTACCATATATAATTATAAATAAATAAAAATATATGTAAATAGATAAAAATGAAAAAAAAAAATAGTTTAATAATAACGGTGAAAAACTATAACATTTTTTTATAGAGATTAATTTTATTCATAATTGTTTTTTTATGAAATTTATTTATAACTGATTCTCATAATAACATATACCACCTCATACTTATCCGCACATGCATATATATTTTAAATATCATTGACCTCGACCTTTTTAGTAACTAAAAAACTTGTTTTTTTAAACTCTGCTACCTGAACAGATTCAACCGTAAACTAGCCGGTCTATTGTCAGTCGCTAAACAGGAGTTAGAGGGCTACCCAAAGCTTTCACTGTACAATAGAAAACATCCAAGATATTCTTACTTTACAGCTAAAACGCATATATTAAAGGGAGCAAGAACACTTGCAATCTTAAGACTATTCTCCATAACATATTCAAATTTCCAACTTGAAGTTAAGTCATGCTTGGAGAATGTCTGAGGGTTGCTTCATGGCAAGTTTACTTCTCCCACCTTGTATTGCTAAATTCTACCTATATTTATTCCATACTTGAACTGGGTACAGAATCGAAATCTATATTTTACCTGCCACTACATGCCACCACCCGTTTTGTTCCCAACCCAAATTTGAAAGATATAATAGAAAAAAAAATCTCAAAACGAATAAAAGGGCAAACAAAATTCAACTATTCAATAATGAGTGAAAAAACCCAAATTACAGAGCATTCAAGAACCAACCAAAACTCTAACCAAAATACATGCCTAAATCTGGAACATATATATTAAAATTCAATCGCACAACTTTCACAAAACCAAAAAATCTGACCCCAATGTGAAGCCAATATAAAAACTCTAACATATATAAAAAGAGAAAACAATTAGAAATCCTAACTAAATATATTGACAAGATGAAAAATAGTTTTCTTCTTTAAAAAATGAAAACAGAGTTCCAGGGGTGAGTTGCAGCCTTAAGGGGAGTATCTACGACTCATGAAGACTAAATTTTAAGTACATCTATGTTATTCATTTTCTTATCGTTAACTGCTTGATTATTTTCTAATTATACCCCTACAATTACATTAGTTCATTGTAAGTTATTCTTTTTAATCTTAAATGTATTAACACATGTTACAATCTACGTTTAACTTTAAAACAATAAGGCCATGAATTGATGACGATTTAGTTCGGTACTAATTCACTGCAAAGTAACTTTAAATTTTCCATCCAATCAACATCTCAAATATGTTGCATCATACAGATTTTTTGCCCTAGTCTTCTTGCCTACAATTGCCTTTTTATTCAAGAAAATTAATTAAAAGGAATCTTGAGTTGCCAAATAACTAAACCAAGATATTAGAATGGCCCAAATCGAGCATAGCCCCTCCCATAGAAACTTGGATCCATGCTCATTGAGAACATTAAGAAAAGAATACTCCAAGTTCCAAGTTTAAAGGCTTTTGAACATATCGTCTGACCTTGGTCGTAAACAATTATAGTAACGGGATACCTAGGACGGCCACTCCTTTTTGTTCTTGAGAATTCTTTGTTAGGATTATTATTAAGTTATCCGAAACACTCCTACACGTGTTGAAAAAAGCAGGGGATATGAAGAACAAGCACCGAGAACTGCCCTTGGAAACAATGGAATCAACCATGGTCTCATTTCTTAAGCATGAAAACAAAATTCCTTTTTTCTTGCATATTAAACCCACAACACCTTTTACCATACTAAAATTAAAAAACAGAAACAAGAAAAAAAACTAATGAAACATAAGTTGATATTTAACATCGGAATCATGAATGGAAGAATACATAGATTATACAACCAGATGCCATGAGAACATGAGCAATTAGCATTGTGTATAAAAGATTTTACTCACCTTAAAGTTCGGGATTGACCATCTATTTGGGATCCAAGAGATATTTCTTTCATGAGCTTTGAAAATTCAACTGAATTTCATATTAACTGCACCAGGCAATCAATAAATCTGAGAACTTGGTAGTTTCTGTAACAGAACTAGATGGAAAGAGGGAGAAAAGATCACAACCTTAGAGGCTTCAAAAACAACGAGGCAGCCGCTGCAAATATGAGGACACGAGCTGGGCAATATCCGATAAACCAGGTAGGTTAGAATTTTTCATCTCAGCAATTATGGCTTCAATCCTTGAAATGTCCGGTACAGATATCGATAAAATAATTGCGTGTGACAAATACTGTCTACAGGAGTACCCAATAGAATCCAGCAGCCGCTGCAAAAGTGAGTTTGAAACTCCCTTGTTCCACGATTCTAGGATAGCCCTAACCTTTGGAAGATTGGTTAGAAACCCAGTTGCGGCCTCCCTTGGAGCTGCCTTCAGCAACATTACCAGGCATTCGGAAGCCATTTCTGCAATATTTGCTTCTTGAGACCCACTTAACTCTAGTAAGACCCCAACATTACTAGCAAAGTCCATTATGTCTCTTATGCCTTGCTGCTGGTCAACTGCATTACTTGCCTCGGAAGAACCATCACATAGGAGCACTGGTTCTTTAATGTAGTTGAACCCCTTTCTACTGCCAATGGAACGTAGAAGAAAAGCCCTACAGAGACCAAGAGTAGGTTCCAGAAAATCTTCCATATCCTTTGCATATACAAACTCTAGAAGATTCCCAATCTTCCTAACCACTTTCAGTTGAGAAAGTAGTTTTGATTCCATCTCGGGAGCAGACGCCAGAGCCAGACACAGCTTAACATCGCTTACATTTGCGGTTGACAAATCACCAAGCAGAAACTCAAAGCATTGTGAGACGGTTTTCAGTTGAAGAATGTCAGGAATGTTGATGTACTTAAACTCAATGAGCATCACAAGAAGCTTCTGCGCATAGATGGGGATGGGATCTTCGTCTTCAATTAAGTTGGGGTAGAGAGGAAGGAAATGAGAGTTCGATATGGATTTCAAATCTTCTGATCTTTCCTCATTTTCGAAAGGTTCGTTTAAGAAAATGATCATCACATCAAATAAAATTTTAAGACACAAAAATCTGGCGTCGCCATCCTTATTCCCCTTATACAGAACAGCAAGACTAGGGAGAATTTCACGAATAAAAATATCAGGCTTTTGGAGAACTACATGAGTTTCCTCTGCGACACACTCTAGCACTCGAAGAAGGGTTATCTGGAAGTCATCCCTGCCCTGAAAATAAACAGAAAAAATAAGTTGTATTCAGTATGCTACTTTCCAATCTTTCTCTTAGAGAGGTTTCTTAAATTTTTATGTCATAATGTAGGATTAAACTCTTCAGAGAAATAAGTAGTAGTGACCTATCGGGGCAAGGTAACAGCGAAATCTTGTCCTCCAACAATCAGTGTTTCGGACGGCTTAGAATTGTGTTTACAAATTACAAATTTTTATTTTAAAAATAACCAATTAGTCAGTGCTGATTGTAAAAATAAAAAATAAAAAATCAACTATTTTTTGAGAAAAAAGACATAAAAATATACTTTTTTATATTATAAATATATTGTTAATTTAAAGGGATACATTTATGTATATTTATTAAAAAAATAAAAATTTAAAAATTAAAGAATTAAGTATTTATTTTGACCTACTTCTAGAAATCTAGTAGGCACTAACCAAGCTAAGATATTAATGAAGTGCTCAAAATTGCCCATATATCTAAAAAGAGCAATCTCATATACCCTCATAATGGAGCGCTCTCGACCTATCTGACATATCTTTTGAAAAATAAGAGCATGGAATGTTATAGAAATATGCCTTTTTTTCTGGATGTTTGATTCTATGACTGGCATTTTTAAAGCTAGGATTTTCAACCAACATGTCAATTCTGCTGATCTTATCTGGGATAGGATGATTTGTATGGCTTCTTTATGGGTTATAAAGTGCATGATTATGTCTGACTCTTGTCTTTGTCTATTATGCAAAACAATTGGGATGCTATATATATGTTTCCCATTTTACCTTTTCTTTTATATGTTTTTCTCTCTTTCAGTGGTAGGAGAATACCTTATCCTCCCTCTAGGTATTCTCTTTTCGTCTCTAAACAATAACTTCTATTTAAAGTATATCATTTAACATTAGGAAATAGAGGTGACTGACCAACGACGAAGGGTCAAGCAATAGCTACCGACCTGGAATGGAGCCTCAACAACTTTCATGAGATTTGCTAACTGCTGCAGGACCTGGTGAGTCACCACTCTGTTCTTGAAGGATGAGCTCCCAAGTAGATGGAGAACAACAGGAAACAAATGAATGTTAGCCTTCAAAGTAGCTCGAGTATTAACTGCAGATATCTGCCCTTGACGCCTTCCTCCAATCATCTGTTGAATATCCCCAGTTATAGCATCAAGAAAAACTGGCACTGTAGATGCAACAACATGCACAAATGCATCTAAACACTGCTGCAAGTATCTGTCTTTCTCTTTTGACAATCTGTCCACTGTAGAAAGTAATCTTGCATTGCAAAAGAAGTGTGACAACCACCTCCTACCATTTTTACAAAGGAGGGCTACAAAAAGAAGTGTCTTTCCTCTCAAAATCTCACTTCCTTGCTCAATAAGAGACACAAGACCAGGTACCAGATTTCGGTCCTCTGCCAAAGGTGCAAGGTACCTTCCAACATTTGAATGGTTTCCTAATATGGCCATGTTTAGGAGGTTCAAGCAGACTTGCTGCTCTCGAGGACTGCACTTGACAAGGGCAGATGCTATCTCCTTGGATGAAAGTTTCTCTATAACTGAAGGAATGCTAGAAGGATTGAAACGAACAAGCCGAACCAAACATGACCCAGAAGTTAGCCTCATGCTCTCCTGTTTTCCAGTTGCTCTGTATATGTAACACAGGTTATTTATCACATCTTGGCTAGTGAAACGAGCTGCCCAGTGTCCCCCTTGACTACAAACATTTTCGATAGTCCTCAATGCATATAGTTGAGTCATATCATCTTCTCCTTTTCGTAAAACTGATGATATCAGAGAAATTAAAGAATTTGAAACCTGTATATAACGAACCAAATAAGTGGTGAACAAAACAGTAGAAGATAGAGAATGCTAAGAGGAATTATTACTAGGGGATTCAAAAAAAGGCTTCACTTCATAATCTTCAATTAAGAGAAGAAAAGAAAATAAATTCTTTAGTGAACAAATATTAACATGTCATAATTTGTTAAATGGATAGGAGACAGAATCAACTAAAACTTCTATGACACAAAATTGAAGGTTATGAATCTAACCTGCCAACCAGATGTAGACCTGCTGTCCTTGGATGGAGATTCTGATGGTTTAAGATCTCTGTTTTGATCATTCTGAGTAGAAATATAGAATAGTAACTCACCCAAAGCTGCCATAGAAAACCTCCTTACCTTTTCTTGCTTATCTCTAAGACCATCAGTAAGTGAACCTAAAATGCCAGAATTTGCCAAGTCATCTTCAATGAACGTAGAATGTCTGATTAACAACCCAATCAGAGAAGCTAGCTGAACACGCAAAGTTGAAGTCTTAGATAAGCGGAGCATTTTAACAAGTACAAGCATTATAGGCCCATTGGTCAAGATATTGGCTGCATCAGCATTACTACTCAACATCTCAAGATATCTAATTATATTTTGCTTCTCTGAAATGCTTGAACTGCTCCCATTAAAAATCGTTATAATCTTATTGTTAAGTACATCCAGTTGCTCCTTTGACATCTTCACAAAGTCTGATGCTTGCAGTGCCTCAAATGGAAGTGAAGGAATGATATCTGATGTTTTATTAGCTTTCCTGCTGGGCATTACAGGTCTTACTGCAAGATCAGATAGATGCCAAAGGACCTCCGAAAGGTTATTAGATGATTTTGAAGAATCAGAATCAAAAGCAGACCCTGCGCCTTCTTTAACTCTATGAACTTTGAGTTGAGGACTAACACTTGGTGGGGTAGCAGGCACTTCAACATGTTCAGAAGATGATTCCTCATCATGTGTTCTTGACTCATCTATGGCAGGCATATTACTTGCAGGTGTGTTATCTACTCGCATGTTATTATCTGTCACTTCCGCTTTTACCTGACTAGATAATTTTTCTTCAGGGATGTTATCAAGCCCATCTGATTCATCGGGTGTCTCATCTTCAATGTCTTCGTTAAAATCAAGCTCCATATCAGTGTTTTCAATTTGAACTTCAGCAGCATTCTCGGAGTTATTGGGTAAAGGCCTCCGGTAGTTTTCCTTCTCATTTTCCCTTTGTAAGTTTGTTTTTGCTATTCTTGACAACCTTAAAAGATTTACACGTTTAGTAGCAGTTGAAGGATCTCTCTGCTTCTCCTCAATCCTGCCAGAATTCTTTGTTTGTGTTTTATGGCCAGCTGGTGTACCCTTGACTGGTGTCTCATGAACTTTTAATCCTAAATTAGAGTTCTCTTCCTGCTTATGAACTCTTTTTGCATCTTTCTCACGATACTTAGGAGGGGTCTTGTTTGGTCTGCTACCATTATGTTCCAATAGGCATGGATTAGTATGTAAACTTATCATGCTGTCAAAAGCAGGCTGAGATGGCAATGGAACCGGAGTCAATTTGGTTCTCCAGAATGCATGACTACAAAGATCATGCCACTGTATTCTTTGAGCTGGATCTTTCACTAGAAGAGAATTGATAAGATTGATAAAACAACGACTTGGATTTCCTGGAAGGGAAGGAGTTGGATCTGAAAGGATGGATTTTACCAGCTGAGTAAACTCTCTACCTACGAAGGGAGGCCTCCCGATGTAACATTCATATAGTACACAACCAAGTGCCCAAAAATCAGATGCAAAAGAATGGACTCCTCCATCCTCAAACAACTCAGGAGCCATATAGGATGGTGATCCACGTTTTGCTTGCGGCAACTTATCAAGTACACAGAAGTAAAACTACAATCAGAAACAAACTATATAGAGCACAAAAGCTAGATATTTGCATTTAATTTAAAATATTCATTCATGAAGACAACCAACCGTGGAAGTAGGAGCTTTTGATATATCATCCAATTTTCTTGCCAATCCAAAATCACATAGCTGCATTGGAAAACAAAGGGCATTAAAACATAGAGAACATCAGGATAATAGCCCACCAGATTATTAATGGAACAATTTGTAGGTACCTTTATATGTCCATTCTCATCTAACAGGATGTTCGATGGCTTCAAGTCACAATATATTATTCCCTTTGAATGCACATATCTGAAAATAGGGATCAGTCCAAGAAACATTACACATGAGCTACAGTGCTTAGCAACTCCATAGCCAAAAGGAAAACTTAACAAGCATTCTTACTGTAAAGCTCTAAGAAGGTCGTGGGCAAGATCATGAATTGACTCTTCAGGCAGTTTACCATCCTGCAAATTATTTGTAATCAATTAGCAACTTCATTTTGAAAATCCATAGAGGTTGTCGCTTAGACACTCTTGTTTCTTAGCATAACAGATAATGAACAAAATACTGATTCTGCCTTTTCACTAGTTAGACCTCTTCAACATTTTAGTGCCAATGATGTGTTTTACATAGCCTTTTGAATAACTTAGAAGGATAAAAAAAGATAAATATGTATAAAAGGATAGAAAATATTGAAGATACCATTTGTTGGGGAAAAAGCAGCTCTCTATTGTTTGGTGCTAAAACTGGTAGTTTAGTATAGCAACGTGAGATAAAAAACATAGAAAACTTGATTTAGTTAAAAAGTTATAGTATTTGCTTAAGCCAGTACTCAAGTTAACCAGCAGCAATTAAGAAGCTTAAACAAACAACGCAAAACAGCATACTAATGGACCAGATTGTACTTCTGCATCGAAGTAATTCAGTACATGGTACTGGATTTTGAAGAAATTATATTAGACTTCTGCATCATCTCGTTTCTCTTTCTGCTCTTTCTAAATTAGAAGTTTCGCGATTCTGAAAATTTGAAGTTAAACTGTCCAAATTAACAATTTAGCAAATTCTGAAAGTGAGAAGTCAGCATTCAAGAGTAGAAAGCGATTAATAACACCTAAAATGACTGGACTTGGCAATCTCCAGCAATGAAATAACAGTTAAGTTACGTGACAGGGACACTTTTGCACTCCACTGGCCATAAATTTTCCACAGCATGACTAATCCAATAATTGTCAGATTGAACTTGTAAATTTTTTATATCAAACAAATGAAATTTTAACATAACAATCAAGTAACATATACCTGCCGTAATAAGGTCATGAGATCTCCACCAACACAGTATTCCAAAACTAACCACAAATGCGCAGAGGTTTCATACCTAAGAGAAGAATTTTAGATAAAGAAAACGGTAAGATAGAATTTTGATGGAAGAAGAAACACTGTTAAATTTGTAAACTATATTTCAGTGCCTTCAAAATCAACTGGAAAATCTTTTCTTTTTCCTCTCTCTAGCTTAACTGTAACCTTTTTAATATAAATGAAAATGAAAACATTGGGAAATTCTTTGATTGCATTTCAACATTCCATCAATATTATCTGTCTCTCTCCCTTTTCCTCTTGTGTCAATTACGTTTCTCTTTTTTTTTTTCGTTTCATTGCATCCTCTATTAAGTACTATTTTTACTATTTCTTTTCGGCAGTTTGTTTTCAGGGTTCTAATATTTTCTAGAAAAAATCAAAACTCTCTTACACTATTCTGCTCTTGTTTCTTTTGTTTTGTCTTTAATTCTTCTGTTTATGAATAAAACTAATTATCAATATTGTATCAATACGAACAATATAATTTTTAAATGCCAGTCTTATTAGGCTTTTGAAGCAAAAATTAAATATATCCATTCTTACTCAAAAATGTTTTTCAGAGTTAAATGTGTATTCAAGTAAAAATTTATCAGAGCAGAAATTAGCCTGACTTGTATTTACGTAGCCAAATATGTCAAAACAACATTCATAATCTTTCAAACCAAAGCAATAAGCAAAAGATATTTTTAGCAGTCTTATCCAAGCATCAACAAAAATTTTCTCCAAAAAGACTCAACTTTAGAAACATATATATTTCTTCTTCAAAATCTATTTTCCGCTAACCATATAATAAAAAACCTAATGCCCATAATCATGTAAATAGCAATTTTATGTGATAATTAGTTCCCCTAAAGTGCACAATCCTTTGGAGGTAATACCACAGTATAAAAATCACTTAAAAGGAATTTTTTTCACAGGAAATATTTATGAAGTTCATGTACAATTTTAGTATTTTAACATTATCTTTAGTTTATTGTCTATTTCGGTAACACCACCGTATAAATTATATTTGGATCTCTTAAGTTTGATTAGGATTTAGAAACTGTTTGGTGGTAATGAAAGCCTACAGGAAGGCTACAAACCCGGCGAAGTGGGAGATGAAATCTATACACTTTCAGTCTTAATAATTTCATGTTCAACTTCGTCTCTCTGGATATCCATCTACCTTACCTTAACCTCACCTATTTGTCTTATTCTTTTACCATAACCTCCAACTTCCTCTTCTTTCTTTTTCTTCTATTCTATCCTATATCATAACCACATACTGGCTAGCCAGGATGACCAATCATAAAACTTTCTACACTTCATCATGTCACAACCCCTTACCATGAATAAAATTTTAGTACATTTGGGATGATCTAGAGAGTGAAGAATCCTCACCTGCATGCGTGACAAAAAAAATGCCTTGTTATTTAAAGCCAATATAAAATAGAACAACAAATCAAGTGCCCTACAGTATATATTACAAGTTCACATTATTCAAATGCTTATAAACTAACAAGTATGACAACGTTCTAAACAACAGACTTATTCTAACTCAACCAGTGCTCTGGACCTCTTATAGGAAATACAAAAGACAAGAAATAAATTCCACCTATTGTAGTTCATAACTATTTCTCACGATATTTTATAGATGTTCGAGAGAAGTTCATGTCACCATACTAGTTCATATAAGGGGCAGAATACAAGAATCCTCAATAATCGTAGTTGTTCTGAACAAACAGTATCCTGAAGTCCAGTACACAGTTTTGAAAAAAGCAACTGCTTAAGTTTTGAATATATAGATGAACAAAAATAGTTTACCACCAATCCGTTAATACAGTACAGTCAGATTTGTCTACTGAAATGAATAAAAGTATAATTAGGTTAGTTAATTATCAAAAGAGATTATGCTTGAATTGCTTAAGAAAGAGAACAAGCTAACATCATT